AGTAGGGTGGGGTGGGGGGACATATCAAAAATGAAATGAAAAAAAAAATCAAAATCAAAAAGAATGAAAAATAAAAAGGAAACAGAGGAGAGCCCTTCTGGTCTTGACCCGTTTCAGGCCTTTCTAGGAGTCATTCGGCGCGCTCCGACACTTTTACAACGTAATTACCGCCGCGCAAATTGTTTGCCCAAACCTCATTGCGGATAAGGGTTTTTACAATCGGCAAACAGTTCCCAGCGGGAGGGCTGCGCTGCGCACCCGCTCCGGGCCGCTGCTGCCGGGCTGCGCGCACCGCCGCTTCGTGGGACGGGCGGCAGCGGCCCCTCTTAGTTCCGACGGCCTTCTTTGGAGCTAAACTCGGACCCGAGAGCTTGCAGAACCCGCCGCTCCTCTCTCCGTCGAAAGCAGCCCCCCCTAAAATAATACCAATTAAAATTAAAAGGGGGGTATGGCTGAAAATACGGCTCAAAGCGGCCTCTGGCAGCCAGCTCAGCCCCAAAAGCTGCTTCGGGAGGTGCGATCCGCGCACATTCGCTTATCGGGCAACAAATGAGGCTTCTAATCGGGCCGAATTTCCCAGCTTCGGGAAAGAATTAGTCATACCTAGGAACAATAAAATGTTTTCTCGCCGCCTTCCCCGCTCCGCCGCTGCCTTCCTAGAAGGGATTTGCGGAGAGGGGGGAAATTAGCATCCGAGTGTGCTCTTTCGCCATTAATATTTAAATTGTTAAAACCCAAATAAGAACGGGCAGAAGAGGCAAACGGGAGCGGAACCGCGGAAGAAAGCGTTCGGAAGGCGGCGGGGAGATAACCGAGGAATGCTGCAGATAAGGGCAGCGATACGCGCAGAGATACCCGAAAAGTCAGCGCCTGGTGAAACGGAGCGGGGGGAAAACTGCTTAAAGACCTATTAAAGGGCAGGAAAAAAAACAAAACAAAACAAAACAAAAAACAATAAAGCAACAAAACAAAGGAACCCAAAAAGCGCCCGGAGCTGGAGGTGAACTGCGGAGACCGTCGGCTGCTTGGGGGACAAAGAGCCCCGGCCCGGCTCGAGCACAGCCCCGGAGGGGAGATCGGCGATAGGGGAGAGGGGAGCGGCCGCCGTCGGGTGCCGGCCCGGAGCTCGCCCCGAGAGCCGAGGCTCTTTTCTTCATTCAACGAAGGGCTTCGTAAAATATTCCCAATAAAATTTACGGTCGTCTTAAAACTTTCCAAACACCGCAATAAATTTTTAATAAAATTAAGTGGGAAATGAATTCCTGGCCGGGCGTTCCGCCGCTCGCCGTTCTCCGGCCGAGGAACGCGGCCGGATAGCACACAGCCCCGAACCTCCCGCTGCGGGTTTCTCCCCGCCGAGCACCGGAGCCGAACGGCAGCGCACCGAGCCGGACCGCCTCCCCCGGGAGGGAGCCCGAAGCCCGGCGTTACGCCTAGCCCCGCGCCACCGTGGCTCTCGGATTCGGGTCCAGCGTGGATTTGCGCTCACGGCCCCCCCCGTGAAACGCACGAATTCGTCTGCGCTCATTGCAGCTCTGGGGACGCTGCCCGCGCTCCCCCCGCTGCTCCGTGCCCACGGCAGAACCCCTCGGGCCGCTGTGGTATCGCCGCACCTCTCCTCGAACGAGGAACGATCCCGGGTACAACTCCTTGGTTGCTTAATTACAAAAAAAAAAAAAAGAAGAAAGAAAAACACACAAAAAAAACCCTCTGCTCGCCGCTTTGCACCCGAAGCATTGAGCTGCGTTGCCGTCTACTGGGCGATGGAGAAACTGCAGCCCGCGCTGCCTGCAAACTTTCTCGGGATGCGGCACATTTTGGGAGGGAGCTGAGAGCCGGAGCCGCCGGGTTTCTCGGGGGAAACAGCGGCAAAGAGACCCCGGGCAGCAGAGCCGTGGGCGAAACGAATACCGTTGTCAGCAGGGCCCGTGTGGAGAGAGAACGGAGAGCTGTGCCACGCTCGGGGCTCGCTGCGGCGGGGGGCGGCGGACGGTGCTCCCCGAGGGGCAGCGGACAGCGGAGGGGTGGGGTGGGGGGGTTTTGGAAGAAAGGGAGGAGGGCAGACAAAAAAAAAAAAAAAAAAAAAAAAAAAAAAAAAA